TAAATTTAGTTAAATTGCCACTACAGTTTGGAGAATGGGTAGTATTGTAAGATTCTGCTATCTGCAGTAGGGTGTGTGTTATCAACAGGGGGTGTAGATAACAAGCTCCTTGAGGGCAGGGATGTGTTTGTCTCTCTCAACATTCTCTTCCAAGTACCTCTCACAGTGCTTAGCACATAGTAAGCAGAGACTGGATTCCAAAAAGGATTTGTTTGGATGCTGACTATTGACTTGCAATGAATAATAGGAAGTCCTATTTCTGGTTCTGAGCTCAGTTTTGAAATGTATTTATACATTACATTCTAATATGTCCTGCAACTTGCCAATTGTTCATATAAAGATTAAATTTAATCTTATATTAGTGATCAGAATTGTCATTATTTTATACAATTTAATAAAGTAAATTATTGAGCTTCAATCAGGCACTGCCTCTTGAAGAGTTGTCATGAAGTAGTCTAAAAGGTTAGTTGATATGTCAGAGAAATTGATAACTGTGAGAATATGAAGTTGTGAGGATGTTACCTGGACCAACTGTTAGTCTTTATCAAGATTTTCTTGTTTTCTATATTTTATATAGAAAAAGACAATAAAAGAAAACTAAGGGAAAATTGGACTTTTGACAGTTACTAAAGTCTTGATAATGAAAATATACATTGCTTAGAAATTTGCAGTTTACAAACTGCTTTCATATATTGCACATCTTATTTTCTTTCATCAGAACAACCTGGTAATTAAGCTGAATAATTTTCCTTTTGCATTGATAAGGTATGATCAATGCAAAATTGATTGCTACTATGCTATGCTTTCATTCCTTTGTTTCATTTCTTTTACTGACATTAATCACCTTAAAACATAATTACCTTTTTCAATTGTCATCCCCTCCAGAGGGTTAGACTAAATAGTAACTGAAAACAAAAGTTATTGGGAAGGTATTAATATATTTATGTTTCTTAATTTTTTTATAAAAATGTTTCCAATTTATTTTGTTACTAGATAAGCCTGGATTTATTTTCTATTTTTTATTATTTTCTATTATTTATTTTTCTATTAAACTGGGGATCATTGGTTAATAATATTGTATGTTTCAGTTTTATAGCCCCTTCTTCAGAGCCAGCAACATTGCCTCTCTGAAATTTCCCAAAAGTCAACTAATTCTTCAGTAGTCAGATCTCCCTTAGACTCTTCTCTTCTGCTTCCTTCTTCCAGATTTAAAGACCCTGTGATTACACTAGACCCACCCAAATAATACAAGCTCTCACCGCATCTTAAGCTCACCTGATAAAGACCTTTAATGTGATCTGGAGCATTAATTCCACTTTTCTAGGTAACCTAGCTTATTCTCAGATTCCAGGGATTTAAGACTTGGGCATCTTTGGCTGGTCATTAACCTGGGTACCACAGTTCCTTTATAATGCACAGAAAAATGTCTTCTTCGTTTTTCCCCTAGTTTTATTTTGAATAACTTAGTTAATGAACCTTTCTTCCACTACTTGTTATACAATTATCTGGTCAATAGAATTAGTAATGGCTGAGACCTACTGACCTGAAACTACTATTTAACTTACTGCTATTAATAAGGAATAAGGAACAGTTAGTCATACCCACAGGCCTGGAAGCTCCTTGAGGTCAGGCACCCTGTATTGTCCTTTTTATTTGGGTAGCCTTTATTTTCATTTCCTGCTAACTAATAGGCATGCAGATAATGTAGTTAAATAATTGCAATGGTTGATTGTGTTCATGAATTAACAATACCAAAGGCCTGTGCTCTTTTAATGATGATTTTCCACAGAGAAGCTAATAGGTTCAGATTCTTCTTACCAGTTGCCACATATCACGGATGTTTGATATTATTTTCAAAGAAGCAGAGCTATTATTTTTTAACTCCTGCATTCCAAGAGTCTAAAACATTATGCTTGCTATTTGGGTAGCTAGCCACCATTCAATTTTAGGCAATTCTCTCCTAATGGACAGGGGAGGTTACTCTTAACAAGTAGTTATGTACCATTATTAATCACTAGAGGTCCAGCGCACAAAAATTTGTATACTCACGGAGGGAGGGTGGGAACGGGAGTCCCTCAGCCCAGCCTGTGCCCTCGCACAGTCCGGGATCCCTCTGTGGATGTCCACCTGCTGGTTTAGGCCCACTCTCTGGGGGATTGGGCCTAAGCTGGAAGTCATACATCCTTCTGGCAGCTTGGGAGCCCTCTGGGGATGTCTGAGGAATAGCTTAGGCTCGCTCCCCTAAGCCGTGAGTTGAACGTTCTTAGCACTGCTGCAGAGGTGGGAGAGGCTCCCGCCACCATGGCTGCACTGGTCAGCCAAGAACTGGCTTCTGGCTGAGCAGAGCACCCCCTGTGGAAACACACTGACCACCAGGGGGCAGCTTCTGCATTGAGCATCTGCCCCCTGGTGGTCAGTGTGCATTATAGCGACCAGTTCTTCCACTGTTAGGTTCAATTTGCATATTATCTTTTTATTATATAGGATAATAGTAACCACCATGTGATTGATAGGCACACACACACATATATACACACACATGTCCTCATTAATATAATCTTATAAGACATCTATAAAAAATATTTCTTTATTTAGAGATCCTAAATATTTTATGGTGATTCCCAGGGTTTGGAGGGTGGATATAGATTTAGGAGGGTCTAGGGGCAATAAATGGTGATAGGGACTTGACTTGGGGTGGTGAACACACAATACAGTATACAGATGATCTGTTCTAGAATTGTGCACCTGAAAACTGTACATTTTTTAATCCATGTCAGCCCAATAAATTAATAAAAAGGACAAAAAAGAGATTTAAAAATTTTTTTTACAATAACATGCATTAGGCAATGATAACCAGAATTCCATAATAAGAAAGCAGAGGGATACTAACAATATTTTATCACATCACTTTTCTGCCCCAATAACTATACATATAAAACTTACTTTTTGTTCAAAAATAAAAGCTAAAAACTGTAAGAATGTTTTGAATCAAGGGGATATCACTTACAAACTCCATTTGAGTCAGACTATCGTAAGTCACTCTCAGACTTACACTGCTTTTCATACTGCACACATAGCCTGTCATCCCCTTCGATCCTCTACTTAAATTTTTCAAGAGATAAAAACCGTATTTAGAATAAAAGCAAAACCTCTCTGTGTCTCACCGGGGGCCACATTGTCTGACTCACACTCCTTAGGGAGCTTCACCTACCTCTGCCCTCCTCACTGACCAGGCTACAGCCACACTGGCATCCTTCATCTTCAAACTCTAACTCTTTGCTGCCCTCAGGCATTTTCTCCATGCTGTTGTCCTCACTTCCTGTCTCTCTGTCTAGGTGATGTCTTCTCATCCTTTCGAACAGTTTACAAAACAGTTTTCCAGAGAAACTTCCCTTTAGTTTCCAGAGAAACTAAAATAGACCCCCCTCCCTGCTCTGGCATTATCTCCCAGGATACCCTTACTGTTTCCTTCAAGCACTAATGAGATTTGTATGTATTTGTTGTTTACTTGTTTATTGTCTATCTCAATGTGGCAAAAGGTATTCACTATTGTATTACCTGTAAACAACATCCTGTCCCATATTCAATAAATATATTTTTAGAACTTCAAAGTTAAGATATGAAATTGCACTGATACATTATTTCTGTGAACAAAGCATTTCCTACAGCATACATATCTGGAGCTTATGCTCTGGTCACACAGTGTTTTCTGAGCATATTTACTTATTTCAGTGTATTTTTTTATTTTGATTTATATTTATTTTTAAAATTTATTTTTAGTGTTAAAAGTAATAAGCCAGTCAGAAAAAGATAAATATCACATGATCTCATTCATTTGTGGAATATCATGAGCAACATAAACTGATGAACAAGAACAGATCCAGAAACAGAGAAGCATCAAACAGACCATCAAACCTCAGAGGGAAGGTAGGGGAGGCTAGGGGTAGGAAAAGAGATCAACCAAAGGATTTGTATGCATGCATGTAAGCCTAACTAATGGATACAGACACCAGTGGGGGAGGAGAGGGGAGCAATGGGGCGATAAGGACACATATGGAACCCCTTAATCAATAAAGAAAAAAAAATGCCATAAAAAGAAGTATTACCAATGTCCTCGTTTTTTATATTTAGATTCACATAGAAATTATTTTTTTGGACATGTATTTTAAAAGCATATCGGTTCTGGGCATATATATATATGCCCTTAGAAATTGGTTTTGGGCATATATATATATGCCCTTAGAAATATATATATATATATATAGAATATATATATATATATATTCTAAATATATATATGGGCATACATATATATGCACTTAGAAATATATATATATATATATATATATTTCTAAGTGCATATATAAGTGATACTGATTCACACCAACTCCTGATAAGAAAACAATCTCCTCCCCTGTTTGCCAAATTTGAGCTAAGGAGGTGGTTCTTATAAAACAGACAAAATAAAAGCTATTTTATTTGTGGCCTAAGTGACCCAAGACCCTTTGGATAACCTCTCAAAACTCTCCATTTAGATCGTAAATGTCAAGTTTACTAGTAGTCGTGATATTGTTGGCTTATTTTAATAAATGTTATCAATCTTGATTCTAATTATTTCATTAATGGTATTCATGTTTTACCTGAAGTTGATATCACTTCTTCAATGCTGAGGAAAAATCGGAAGTGTACTTTCCTTATCTGACAACTGCATTAGGGAAGTGAGAGGATCCTAGCCTAACATTTACCACAGGTGAGATAGTTTAGAATGTCCAGTTAAGAAAAAGAAATTCACCTTAAAAGTAATAATCTCTGCAATTTTTACTTAAACACAGTAAATCATGCTAAATCTTAAACATGTTTGAAAGTATCACCTGCTAATTGGTTAGCAGTTTTAGACAGCCTACAGTGTTGAACAATAAACTACTCTGATATAAATGAAATCATTTTTGTCTCCCTTCTCTGCTCTAATCCACACTTTGATGGGATTTTGATGTTCCTAGATATCCGTGGAATACAGGAGTTTTTGGACAGAGTATCTCAGCAGGGGATGGATGTTGCACTTCAAAAGGTAGAAAACAACATCAATAAAATGATCACCACTCTCTTTGATACCATGAGAATAGAGGAATTGAATCGCTATCGAGACACTCTTAGGAGAGCCATCCTTGTTATGAATCCCGCCACAGCCAAATCCTTCATTACTGAGGTAAGAAAAACTTGTCAAGATTTGGGGATAGGGTGTTAAAATGAAATGCATCGGAATAGATCTCACAAAGAAGTTGAAAATTAAGAGCAGCAAGAGGAAATTAAGTGTACAACTCATCAGCACTAATTGTGGTTAGCACAGTGAATTTCTGGCTCATTGCATTTACCCGGTACTGTCCAGTTAATTGCTAAGAATATTTGTGTATATATATATATATATATATATATATATATATATATATATATATATATATATGCGCACAGGGCCAGGATGGTTTTAAGAAATTTTATGGGGGGTATAAAAATGCCATTGACCTGAAAGAATCTAATAAATTAAGAATAAATTCAAAAGTATGAATTCTTTAACTAACCCTTAAATTCTTTTGCAAGTTAAAATTTTACTTCTGAGAAAAGATTTAGTTGACTCAGGCTTTTGTTGCCTGGCCATGATTACTTTTACAAAAACGCATAGTAAGTTTAGTTCTGCTCTGTGAAATCTGTACTAAGACAAATAATTAACACCGTCTGAAACTGCAAAGTAATGAGCACTATACACTTTACTATGCCGCATCCTCAAAATTTTTATTGTATCTGTTTGGCTGGAAGCTTCGAAACTTTGTCAAAATATAATTAAGGCTTTTTATTGATTGATGACACACCTCTGTGTTCTAAAATGCTTGCTCTTGCCTTGCAAAGGATTATTGTCAAGTCATTTTTGCCTTGCTTCAAGTTTTTTGGTTTTATATAGTGCTAGGTAGGGCCACGACATTACATATTTTATATGGGTTTATTATTAGTGTTTCTCATTCTGGTGACTTTATTTGAGTAATGCTTTTTTTCTCACTTCTCTATTTTGTTTTCTTTAATTCCCAAAGCACTGCTATAAATCATCCAAATTAAGAATGTGTTAGAAGTTCTATGACACTATATAAATGGTATCAAGGAACTGAAGCAGAATGTAAATCACTAAGAATAATAAAACTTTTTGGAAAATATGTCTTTTTTAATTTTAATAGAGAACTTTGTTGTGCAGCTTAAGGATAAATATAGAACTTTAAAGCTTTTCTAGTCTTGCAAATTGAATAACTATACTTTTTCACAATAGAAACAATATTTCCCATTTGGCAGGAGTTGGTTCTTTCCTTTAAGAGACACAAAGTCTGTTAAAAGTTTGAAGAGAAATACTCAATGACATGTACTATAAATTGGAATCTTAAAATTAAGTAAATCAGGTTGAAGCTTCTGAGTTCATTTTTAGCTGGGGAGATCAGAGAGGGCTTCTTTAAGAAGCCACATTTGAATTAGACTTAGTGTCCAGAGTAGAAATTCATAAAAGAAATGCAGGATGTAATAGGTAAATACTAGTCTGTCTTAGTCATTTTCTGGTGATGTTGTATTGGCAAATTTCTTAACATTTCTGAGCTTCAGTTTTGTCATCAGTAAAATGGAAATAATGTATTGACTTGAACATATTAATATGGATTAATAAACTATCCTAGGATATGTCCTAAAAAAGGGGGTGGGGAATAGAGCCTTTTATGAAGGTGGGGAGGCAAGTAAATAGAGGTGAGGCAACATATGAGGAAGAGCAGGTCTGGGGAGAAGATGAAGAGTGTATGTTGGCCATGTTGAATGTGTTATTTATCCTCAGTGTTTTTCCTCATGTTCAAGTAAATATATGTGCAGTAAATATTTAGTTACATGGTTCAAATGCTGAAGGTTCTCAGGTCCTAAGACATGCATATTTAAAGCACTGTAGTGTGTAAAGAAACAGGTAAGGGGAAAGGCACAATTGAAGACCAGACACAGGCAAGGAAGTAAGATCTAGCAAAGGAAACCACGAAAAACCTAAGCAGTAGGGGAAAAGCAAAGTAGGGGGGGGAAAGTATAAAAGAAAAATGTATACAAAGCAAAGGAGAAAATAATATCAACTTGATATTGCCAATGAATTGTCCATTAAAAGAAGGACTGAAGTGCATTAGACTGAAAAACCCAGAACTCTAGTTAGTTAGCAATAACAAGTTCATTTGTGAGATAGAAAAGAAGACAGATTTCTATGTTGAGTGGTGAATGTGTGGTGACAAAAGGGGAACTGTGAACATTAATCAAAAAGTGGGATGAAAATAGCCAGAAAGAGTTGGGATAATAGGAAAGTCTACGCATGAGAGATTTCTTGGCACAGAGTGCCTTTAAAAGCTTGCACATGGAAGAAATATCTGAAGGGGATTTTATAAATAATAAACTAGAAAGCTATAAATGATATCTCAGGGAAGCTCTACTAATTTTGCAAAGTATAAAAAACTATGCAGTAAATGGGTAAATGATAGCCTAAAAGGTAGGGAGAGTCTGGCCAGTGTGGGTCAGTGGTTGAGTGTCAACCTATGAAGGTCACAGTTTGATTCCTGCTGTAGGGCACATGCCCTGATTGCAGGTCATGCAGAAGACAGCTGATCACTGATTCTCTCTTATAAATATGTCTATCTCTTTCTATCCCTTTCTTTCTGAAACCAATAGTAAAATATTTTTAATAAATTTTAAAGTTAAGGGGGAACCCAGATAATGATATGTCATGGGTTTAAAGTAACTAGAACAGAGTGTAGTATAGCTATTAGAGTTAAACATTTTAGAATGAAAACTCAAAATAGATATTTGTATTGAGGAGCCAAAAGATTCCTAAGAATGGCAGAGAATAGAGAGAAATTGCAAAGGGTCGTGGAGGGAATTAATAGAATTCAATATGTTAACTACTTGAGAAGTTTGGTAATAAAAGTAAAAAATAAATTATAGATAATGTTTTTAAAGTTGGATAACAGAAATAGGAAAAATCAATTCATTTTTTGGGAGAAAGAAACAAACAAACAAAAAAAAAAACTGAAGCTCTTTTGCACAGGTCTTAATAAGGGCAATCAGAGAGGGATTAATTGATGAGGCTAGAACCCAGAATGTTATACCACATGGAGCTCTATCAGAGGAAGGCTATCCATGACCAATAACCACAACTTGCTGTTTCAAGATTGATAAAATGAGTCCAGACTTTATTAAAGTAATTTTATTTGAAGATCTTTGTATAATTGATAATTTCAACTTATATGATCTTGACTTACATTGTGACCATGGCCCTCTATCCTTGATTCTGAACTTTGATTCTTTTTTTTTTAATATATTTTATTGATTTTAGAGAAGAAGGAAGGAGTAGAGAGAGTTAGAAACATCAATGATGAGAGAGAATCATTGATTGGCTGCCTCCTGCATGCCCCCCACTGGGGACCGAGCACACAACTCAGGCATGTGCCCCTGGGACCCTTCAGTCTGCAGGCTGTCGCTCTATCCACTGAGCCAAACCACTGAAATTTGATTCTTGTTATAACCTATTTCTATCTTTGTTTTTTTTAATTTATTTTAATTTTTTTCTTTTTTGTTTAATCTTTATTGTTCAGATTATTACAGTTCCTATTTTTCCCACCATAGCTCCTTTCCACCTGGTTCCCACCCCACCTCACCCCATGTCCTCATCCCCAACACTATCCTCATCCATAGGTGTATGATTTTTGTCCAGTCTCTTCCCTTATCCCCACACCCCTTTCTCCTGAGAATTGTCAGTTAACTCTCTTTCTATGCCCCTGATTCTGTTATATTCACCAGATTATTCTTTTAATCAGATTTTTTTATTGACTTGCTTTTTAGATTCATTTGTTGTTAGATATGTATTTGTTGTTACTTTGTTGTTTATAATTTTAATCTTTACATTTTTCTTCTTTTTAAAGAATGTCCTTCAGCATTTCATATAATACTGGTTTGGTGGTGATGAACTCCTTTAGCTTTTTCTTTTTTGTGAAGCTCTTTATCAGACCTTCAAGTCTAAATGTTAGCTGTGCTGGGTAGAGTAATCTGGTTGTAGGTTCTTGCTATTCATCACTTTGAATATTTCTTGCCATTTCCTTCTGGCCTGCATAGTTTCTGTTGAGAAATTAGCTGACAGTTGTACGGGTGCTCTTTTGTATGTAACTAACTGTTTTTCTCTTGCTGTTTTTAGTATTCTCTCTTTGTCTTTTGTCCTTGACATTTTAATTATGATGTGCCATGGTGTGATCCTCTTTGGATTCCTTTTGTTTGGGGTTCTCTGTGCTTCCTGAAGTTGTAATTCTATTTCTTTCACCAGGTGGGGGAAGTTTTCTGTCATTATTTCTTCAAATAGGTTTTTAAGTATTTCTGGCACCCCAATAATTTGGATGTTGGTACGCTTGAAATTGTCCCAGAGGCTCCTTACATTATCTTCATATTTTTTAATTTTTTAATTTATTTTTTTCTTTTCCGGTGGGGTGTTTATTTTACTTCTTTGTATTTTAAATCTTTGACTTGATTCTTGTAATCCTCTAGTCTTCTGTTGGATCTCTGTATATTATTCTTTATTTCAGTCAGTGTATGCTTAATTTCTAGTTGGTCCTTTTTCATGTCCTCGATGGTCTCACTAAATTTATTGGTGGTTTCTAGAAGATTCTTGAAGAACCTTATAACTGTGCTTTTGAACTTTATATCCAGTAGTTTGCTTTCCTCCATTTCTTTTATTTGTGACCTGTTTCTTTGTTTCTGCATTTTGGTTGCTTCCCAAAATTGATAGAATGGCTTTGTGTGTTAGGTGTCCTATAGAGCCCAAGTTGACACCTAACACACTCTTGGTTCACCCCTTTGTGGGCTGTGTGCACAGTCTTGTTGTAGTTAAGCCGTGATTGTTATTGGTATCACTGGGAGGAATTGACCTCCAGGCAAATTGGCTGTGAGGATCAGCTATGTCTAGGATGGGAGAATTTCTACACTGGAGAAACTCTTATGAGGCAAGACTTGCTTCAGTGGGGCTTTGGTGTTCACTAAGTCTGTCCCCTGGAGTATGTCCCTTATGGATCTGAGGAGTTGTAATCTCCATGGTCCTACTCTGACTCCTGGTACACTGGCTCTTGGATCTCCATGGAGGTGCTAATTTAGCCTCTGCCTGAGGCCACCCAG